TAGCCCAGAGATATAAAGAATTTCTTTAAATCAGCAATAAAAGGATTAACAGCCCAGTTTAAAAATTGGCAGAAGATATGAACAGACAAAATAAAATCTGCAAATGATGTTAATATGAACATTTAAAAGTGTTTAATCTGATTATTCATCCAGGAAATCGAAGTTAAACTGTAAGATACCACTGTATGCCCACCAGAGTGGCTAAAGTGAATAGACTGACAATACCAAATGCTGCTGAGAATGTAAAGCAGCAAGAACTCTCCTGCATTGTGGGTTGGATGTAAGATGCTACCAACACTTAGGAGAAAGTTGGATAAACATTCTTGTTGAAGTCTTTTATGGATATTGTATCTGAGCTCCCTTGAGTGAATAACAATGAGTGGTATTGTGGAGTGTATGATAAGCAGTTCCACTGCTAGATACTGACCCAAGAAAAATTAAAGCCAGTGGGGCCAGCATTGTGGCATAGCAGGTAAAGCCGCTGCCTGCAATGCCAGCATCCCACATGGGCATTGGTTTGTGTCCTGGCTACTCTACTTCCTGATCCAGCTCCCTTCTAATGGCCTGGGAAAAGCAGAAGACAGCCCAAGTACTTAGGTTCCTGCCACCCACATGGGAGACCTGAAAGAAGCCCCTGGCTTTGGCCTGGCCCAGCCCTAGCTGTTGGAGCCATCTGGAGAGTGAACCAACAGATGGAAGGTCAGTCTCTTTCTCTCTCTCTCTCCCTCTCCCTCTCCCCCCCCCCACTTCTGTCTCTGTAACTCTTTCAAATAAATAAATATATCTTTAAAAATAAAAATGAAAGTCAGTATCCATAAGGGACTTCTACAAGGGTGTTCATAGGAGCTTTACTCACAATAGTCGAAACATGGAAATAGGTCAGGTGTCTATCCACAGAAAAAAATAGGTAAATAAACTGTTATAAATTCACCAGCAGTTATAAGGTCATCCTTGACAATAAAAAGGGACAAAACTACTGGATCAATTTAAAAAGCATGATGTTGAGTGAAAGCTTGACACCACAGAATTCCCAGTGAATATGTTAAAACAACTAGGATATAGCCGGCACCACGGCTCACTAGGCTAATCCTCTGCCTTGCGGCGCCGGCACCCCAGGTTCTAGTCCCGGTCGGGGCGCCGGATTCTGTCCTGGTTGCCCCTCTTCCGGGCCAGCTCTCTGCTGTGGCCAGGGAGTGCAGTGGAGGATGGCCCAAGTACTTGGGCCCTGCACCCCATGGGAGACCAGGAGAAGTACCTGGCTCCTGGCTTCGGATCAGCGCGGTGCGCCGGCCACAGCGCGCCAGCCGCGGCGGCCATTGGAGGGTGAACCAACGGCAAAGGAAGACCTTTCTCTCTGTCTCTCTCTCTCTCTCTCACTGTCCACTCTGCCTGTCAAAAAAAAAAAAAAAAAAAAACTAGGATAGTGGTTGCCTCTGCAGGTTTGGGGGGCAGGGGATTGTCAAGGTCACAAAACAAACATCCTCTGTGGTAGGTGATCTAAAGACCACATTTTGAGAATCATTCTTTGCCTGATTTTAGAAAGAATTCCTTCTTTTCATAAAAGCAAGATTCATAGATTACTAATTTGTTATTTCTTTCTTTCTTTCTTTCTTTCTTTCTTTTCTTTTTTTTTTTTTTTTTTTTTGACAGGCAGAATTAGTGAGAGAGAGAGACAGAGAGAAAGGTCTTCCTTTCCATTGGTTCACCTCCCAAATGGCCACTACGGCTGGTGCTCTGTGGCCGGCGCACCGCACCAATCCGAAGCCAGGAGCCAGATGCTTCCTCCTGGTCTCCCATGCGGGTGCAGGGCCCAAGGACTGGGCCATGCTCCACTGCCTTCCTGGGCCACAGCAGAGAGCTGGACTGGAAGAGGAGCAACCAGGACAGAATCCAGCGCCCCAACTGGGACTAGAATTTGGGGTGCTGGTGTCGCAGGCAGAGGATTAGCCAAGTGAGCCACGGCGCTGGCCCTAATTTGTCATTTCTTAAATGTCTCTATTATAAGCAGAGAGAGAGATCTCCTGTCTGCTACTTTACTCCTCAGTGGCCACAATGGCCAGGGTTGGATCACTCCAAAGCCAGGACAACCTGTGTCTCTCAGGGGATGGTAGGAACCCAACTGCTTGAGCTCTCACCAGTACCTTCTGAGTTGTATGTTACTAAGGAATCAGAAACTGGAGCCAGGAATCAAACCCAGGCACCCCAATATGGGATGTGGGTGCCTTAACCACTATGCTGAATGCCTGCCCCTGTTATTTTCACTTTTTGTTAAAAATTCTTGAAATTTTAAATACCTTGTATTTAATTACGTAATATTGTACTAAAAATGCCATTTCTTTGTTAATGTTAATTAGTAAGTTGACAGAGTCATAAAAATATTGCATAGTTCCTGATTGTGATAGATACCCTTGTAGACATCAAGAATACAATTTTTTAAAAAGATTTTATTTATTTGAAGACAGAGTCACAGAGAGAGAGGTCTTCCATCCAATGGTTCACTCCTCAGATGGCCGCAATGGCTGGAGCTGTGCCGATCCGAAGCCAGGAGCCTCTTCCGGGTCTTCCACGTGGGTACAGGGGCGTCCTTGGGCCATCTTTTACTGATCTCCCAGGCCATAGCAGAGAGCTGGATAGGAAGTGGAGCAGCTGGGACTAGAACCGGCACCCATATGGGATGCCGACGCCTCAGGCCAGGGCATTAACCCGCTGCACCACAGTGCCGGCCCCAAGAATACAATTTTTTTCTTTTCTTTAGAGAGAGAGAGACAGAGAGAAAGGTCTTCCTTCCATTGGTTCACCCCCAAAATGGCCAGCATGCTATGGCCGGCACACTGCGGCTAGCGCACCGCGCTGATCCAAAGTCAGGAGCCAGGTGTTTCTTCTGGTCTCCCAGCGGGTGCAGGGCCCAAGCACTTGGGCCATCCTCCACTGCCTTCCCGGGCCACAGCAGAGAGCTGGCCTGGAAGAGGGGCAACCAGGACAGAACCCGGCGCCCTGACCAGGACTAGAACCCGGGGTGCCGGTGCCACAGGCAGAGGATTAGCATAGTGAGACGCAGCACCAGCCTTTTTTTTTTTTTTTCTTTTTTCTTTTTTGACAGAGTTAGACAGTGAAAGAGAGAGAGACAGAAAAACGTCTTCCTTCCATGGTTCACCCCCCAAATGGCTGTCACGGCCGGAGCTACGCCGATCCGAAGCCAAGAGCCAGGTGCTTCTTCCCGGTCTCCGACGCGAGTTCAGGGGCCCAAGCACTTGGGCCATCCTCCGCTGCCTTCCTGGGCCACAGCAGAGAGCTGGACTGGAAGAGGAGCAACCGGGACTAGAACCGGTGTCCATATGGGATGCTGGCACTGTAGGCAGAGGATTAACCAAGTGAGCCACGGCGTCGGCCCCCAAGAATACAATTTTTAACATCAAAGAATTGGACATGGAAATAATTTTTCACTGAATTGGATGAAATTCGTTAAACGTGTGGTTTGAGACAGGACAGATGTTTGTAGTGGTCTTTGGTAATCTGGATGATTTTGTCTTATAGTTGTAGTCCTCTTTCATTTAAACTGCTGGCTCCCACCCAGTGCAGAGAGTGCTTATTTATGTGATAAACCACTAGTGTCATTCACTTTAAGGATTTGAGATGTTTAGATAATTAGAGCTTTTACTTCCTTTACCTTAATCATAACATGAAAATATGTGCAGACTTTGAGAAGTGTTGCAGTGTGGGGCTTGAGGATCAGTGGAACTAAGGTATCTATCAGATGTGTGAAATCTTGCCAATTAAAGAAACCTGCCACTTTTGTTTTTCAAAATTTCCTTATAAGAATCACCTTGGGCACTCATTAAATTTCAGACCCTTTCCTTCTGAGATTGGAATTCCTCCCTTAGAGGCTAATTGGGTGGGTCTCTGATGGGTTGAGAATTTGTATATTTAAACAAGTACTTCCAGATAATACTTATCAGGAATATGTAGAAAACATGGCCCTAAAGTAAAGTTTCTCAAACTTTCATTAATACCAAAAAGAAAAATCACCCAAGGAGTTTGTTGAAAAAGGAAATTCCTGAGCCCTACCTAGACTTCTCATTTGTCGAGTCTGGGATGAAGCCCCCAAATCTACATTGTTTGAGAGCACATATGGTGCACAGGTCTGAAGACTGTCTTCCAAGGGCCACTGCCTTAGTGGGATGTCCCTAAATATGTTTTTAATCACTCTTAAAGACATGAGAGAGAGGTAAGCGATTGAAAGGAAGACAGTTTTAGAATTGAGGACAGATCTTTGTGTAGGTCCTGAGGGAGCATGTTGGGTAACCTATGGACGGGGAGGATCTTAGGGTCAGTGAGCATGCATGAGGGAAAGGAATCACTTCCTGGGACCAACGCAGGACTGCTGTCTTTGTGGGCTAAGCCATGGCTAACCATTGGAAGTGATTTTTGAGAGCAACTGCCTTTGTTGTGGGCTAGGTTGGGCCAAAATTAGTATTCCATGCTCTTCTTACCTTTTACTTAGAAAGGAATTCTAGATACAGGCACAAACATGACATGCAGCATGATAAGGCTTGTTTAGAAAGAGAGAGGAATCCATAGGCACATGAAGACTTCATTTAGGGAGAGTGGGCCAGGAAAGGTAAAAAGGGGGAATTTCATACCCTGCTCTGCTGGTCCTGGGTCCACGAGGTGGAGAGAGAGAGCCCTTCACCCGGCTTTTTATTAGCTTTGAAAGTAGAGTGGTTACATAGTACCGCCCCCAGGTCCTGGGAAAGGCGAGGAGGGGTCATCTGATTGATGATAGGATTACTAGGGAGTGGGATAGATGTGGCCTGCAGCTCATGAACTTAATCTATGTCCCTGACTTTTCCCAATCACATTTATTTGCTTTCAGGTGGTGGGGAGAATTCAGAATCATCTTGCAGGCTACCAAAAATCTGCCTGCATGCCGGCCCCTGTCTCATGTGCTGCTGCTGGACTCTTAAGGATTGTAAACATGCACTGGTTTTTCTCTTGTATAGTAAGAAGAAAACATAACCTATAGACCACCTTCTGGCAGAAGATGATAGATTCGGATCAGAAACGGGAGGCGTTGGAAGCCAGGAATCAAAAGTGAAGAAACTCTGCAAGCCCTTGGGTAAGAAAATGACAGGGATTGTTTATTTCGTTACAAGTCCCACATTATCATCACATGATTATCTAACATGAGTGTGTTACTTTTATGCCAGTTGGTAGTTCACAAGTGGTGGGGGGAAGGCAGAACTACTGGAAATGGGTCTTGGCCACGTGTTTCTCTGCCGGCTGCTTCATATTTCTTCTGCCTTCCCCTTGCCTGCATTCTCTTCTTCCTCCTCCCTCCTCCCTCCTCCCTCCTCCCTCCTCCCTCCTCCCTCCTCCTTCCTCCTTCCTCCCTTCCTTTTGTCTCTTCTCCCTTCTTTTCATTTATTTATTTGAAAGGAGAGGAGAGAAAAGTGCTCCCCCAAGCCCCCATACACTGGGTCACTAACTAAACACCCACATCAAGATGGTGCCAGGCCAGGCTGAATCTGGGAGCCAGGAACTGGGTCTCTCATGTGGGTGACAGGGACCCAACCACTTGAGCCATTATCTGCTGCCTCCCAGGGTCTGCATTAGCAGAGGCTGAAATCAGGAGCAAAGCGGAGACTTGAACCCAGGAACTCCAATATGGTATGCAGGTATTTCTTTTTATTTATTTGACAGGTAGAGTTAGACAGTGAGAGAGAGAGAGAGAGAGAGAGAAAGGTCTTCCTTTGTTCTGTTGGTTCATCCCCAAAGTGGCCGCAATAGTGGCCGGCACGCTGCGCTGATCCGAAGCCAGGTGCCTCCTCCTGGTCTTCCATGCGGGTGCAGGGCCCAAGGACCTGGGCCATCCTCCACTGTACTCCCGGGCCACAGCAGAGAGCTGGACTGGAAGAGGAGCAACCGGGACAGAATCCAGTGCCCCAACCGGGACTAGAACCCGGGGTGCCGGCGCCACAGGCGGAGGATTAGCCTAGTGAGCCACGGCGCTGGCCTGGTATGCATGTATTTCAACTGACAGCTTAAATGCTAAGCCTAATGCCCACCCCCATTGCTACCTGTTTTGCAGAACCCCACTCCCTCCTTTCTAGGGCTAAAGTTTAAGCTGAAATACCTTATTAATTTTCATAGTGAACATTTATTGAATCCTAATTACTGCTAGGCACCATGGTGTTACACTCTCTCTGCATTATTTCTGTTTGTTCATTTGAGAGGCAGACACACAGAAAACTTCCTTCTGGTAGTGTACTTCCCAAGTGCCCACAACTGCTGAGTCTGGGCCAGGTCTCAGAAAATTTCTGGAACCAGAAATGCAATCCAAGTCTCCCGTGTGGGTGGCAGGAACCCAATCACTTGAGCCATCACCCCTTCCTTCCAGACTACATTAGCAGAAAGGTAGAGTTGGGATCTGGAACCTGGTATGAAATCCACGTATTCCAGTATCAGACAAGCGTCTTAACCTCTAGGCTAAGAGCCCGTCCCATCCCTGCATTATGCCATTCACTTCTCAGAACCACCCAGTGATACAGATAACTGTTGTTGTGATCCATGTTGCAGATAAAACATCTGAAGTTCCAAGAGGTTCTATCACTTCTCTAAGACCTGACAACTAGGAAGTGGCTGAAGCAGATTTTAAACTCTTGCTTTCTGACTTCTGACTCCATTCTTACTACTTTTTCTCTAAGAGAAAAAAAAAAAAAGTGTGGGACGGAACCACACTTGGAGTGTACTTGCAGCATACTGGAGCAGCTACTCCAGCTTGGCGGCCCTCTTCGGAAAAGCTGTCAATCCCTGGAATTTAAAAGCATTAAAGTTTTCATCATGAAAATTTTAAAAATAAGGGAAGAAAAAGACATCACCTTTAATACTTGCTGACCTTACTATTAATTGACATATTAATGTGTATATTCCCATATATGTATGTATATTTCCCTGTAGTACATACATTCCTTAGTATCCTGATATTAACAATATAAGTAGAAACTTTCATGCCCAGATTTTCATGATTTTTAAATGATAGCTTAAAACTTGTAGCTGCTTGACATGGAAGAAAGTCCAACAAATGAGTGGATGAATGAATGCTTGCTTCCATGTATAAAATATTGGCCGGTGCTGCAGCTCACTAGGTTAATCCTCCGCCTGTGGCGCCCGTACCCTGGGTTCTAGTCCCGGTCGGGATGCTGGATTCTGTCACGGTTGCCCCTCTTCCAGGCCAGCTCTCTGCTGTGGCCCGGGAAGGCAGTGGAGGATGGCCCAAGTGCTTGGGCCCTGCACCCCATGGGAGACCAGGAGGAAGCATCTGGCTCCTGGCTTCGGATTGGTGCAGTGCTCCGGCCATAGTGGCCATTTGGGGGGTGAACCAACAGAAGGAAGACCTTTCTCTCTGTCTCTGATTCTCTCTCAATGTCTAACTATGCCTGTCAAAAAAAAAAAAATTATATATTCGTGTACTTTTGTTGTTTTTCTGTGTTTAGTGAGGAGGACAGTAGTTCAAGTTTAAATGTTGTTATTACTCCGTGAACTAGGAACATGCTTTCCCAACTCAAGTATGTTCTACCTGTTTTTCCAGGTCTTGCTCAAATCCACATACCCTTGAAGCTTTTCTTGATTTCCGAGCCAACAATGATCTCGGTCAACTCCAGCCTTCTCAAGCACTTTCTGGCAATTCTTCACATTCAACATTCACCATGTTTTCCATCTGCTGGTTAACAGCAGTTTTGTCTTCTCTTCTTGCACTCCTTTCTATCCACAATACCTAACCCAGTGCTTTTTCAATGTCAGTTTTACTCTTCAGCATTTTGGTATTCAAATCAAATTGTTATTGGCCAATTTCCTTTAGAGTCTAGAATGACTAAACTTACTGCTGTGTTTTTCCATCCATTTATAGGTTCCTATCACTGTAACCATGCCAGAAATGACAGAGAATGAGACTCCTATGAAAAAACAGCACAGGTATGTACCCACTACCCCAAAATAATAGAGCATGGGCAGATAAGCAGAATTAGCTCCTTTTTTCCTCTGTGGGTACAGTACTTAGGGAACTTTCATTGGAATGGTTAGAAAATGATTACTCTCCAGAAATACATAGTTAAATATAAAGAGATTTACTTAAATGGGTATATGGTTAATATTTACTTGTCTACTTCATTCAGCTAGCAGTGTAACAAGTAACAGTCACCATCAGTAGATAATAGTGTATAACCTATACTAAATGTTTAGTTTCCAATGGCATTTTTACTCGCATACAGTATTAGTTTTGCAGATTCTGAGTTCTTTTAGGCTACAGTGAGTATGAATAAATGTTTTGTGTCAGTCCAATCTATTAATGCCAGTACATATATCAGTACAATACTACATTTGGTTCTTTGTATAACCCTCTCCTAAATTTCTCGCATTTTGGTCATGCTTCTACTAATATTAGAAGTATTGTTCGCTTTCCTTACCGAATAACTGTTAGTTAGACTCGCGAGGGTGGGGCACCTTTTCTCTGCCAAGGGCTGTTTGGATGTTTATAACATCATTCATGGGCCATACAAAATTATCAACTTAAAAATTAGCCTGCAGGGCTGGTGTTATAGTATAGGGAGTAAAGCTGCCACATGTGATGCCAGCATCCCATATGGGCACTTGTTCAAGTCCTAGCTGCTCCACTTCAATCCAGCTCCCTGCTAATGGCCTAGGAAAAGCAGTGAAACATGGCCCAAGTGTTTGGGTCCCTGCTACGCATGTGGGAGACAGATGAAGCTCCTGGCTCCTGGCTTCAGCTTGGTTCAGCTCAGCCCTGGCCATTGTGGCCATCTCTTGAGTGAATTGGTGGATGGAAGTTCTCTCTCTTTCTTCTCTCTCTATCTCTCTCTTTCTGTAACTCTGACTTCAAATAAATAAATCTTTAAAAATAAATCCTGCTATAGATTTATTGAATTTTGAGTCCCACCTGTTGTTACCTTGGCAGGCCAGATCTAATGATTTCATAGGCTGGCAGTTCCCCGTGTCTGTGTTAGAGAATACTAAGGTATTTGGTAGTTGCACATAAAAGGAAAAAATAATGTAGTTAAGAGTTTGGACAACCTAAGTTACACCTGAGCCATTTGTCAGTGCCTGAGTACTATTGGCTACCACATTTCCCTCTATGGGAATTACAAAGTTACTCTGTATAGTTGCTTCTCTTCGGCACACCCACACCCACTTATGCCCAGGGGCCAGGGCAAGCATTCATCACCTACTTGGCACATCACTTTGAGAATTTACTAGCACCTAAATTACATTTTTAAAATATTTGAAGTTTTCAGTGATTAATTCAGTTCCCAACTTATGTCTTCTGGGTATGAGCTAATGGATGTGACTTCTAAATTTATACTGAGGGAATTATAGTTAGGCTTTCATACCATAATATGTATTAAGACGACTTTTCTGCAGGTATTATTGCTGCAACAAATATAAATTCATAAAATCTATTTTTATGGTTCACAAGACATAAAGCGAGAAAATGCTTTCCCATTATTTTCATGTTACCTGTTATCTGCACTTTTTTTTTCATTTCAGAAAGAAAAATCGGGAGACACACAATGCAGGTACATACAATAATTTAAATTTTACTTGTTAGTATTTTTTGCATTCTGAAATGAAATTAGACTACAGTTAATTTAAAATTTCTAGGTTATAAGCATAGAATCATTATGTTTTAGGAAAGTGTTCTTTATTGTTTTTAATTGACAGAAGTACTGAAGCTCATGAAGATAACTTGCTAATCATCTTCTGATCCATAGGCCATGGTGATAATTTAAAATTGATGTATTCCTGAAGCTAGTGTTTTAAGTGATTTCATGCATGGAGGAAATTTGGATAGACTCCCAAATAGAATGAGTGTTACGTGTGTTTGCATATATTCCGGAGGAGGCTGGTTACCTGGGGGAGTAGGGAAGACATGAACAGCAGACTTTAGATCTTTAAGGGACTGGCAGTGTGGGCAGTCTTAAATTAAATTGTAGAGTCCTCGATTATAGAAATTAATGTCAAAAACAAATATTTAGTCCTACTGCAAGCATCGTAATTACAGGCCACAGCTTGAAAAACATCCTCATGTGTAGAATTAATTGTGCATACATTTGCAAGTTGGCACATTGGATAACATTTTATTTGCTATCAGAGTCTGCAGTCAGATCTTTAAAAATTATTTCAGAAGTCAATTTATATTACTGTATAAATATCTTCCCTCCCATAAGGAAAGGACCTTTGGGAATCTTTTATGTATGGAAAGATATGTTGAACACGGGTGGGGAATTGCTGTTTCCCAGAGAGAGGAGTTTATTCCCTGTGAAGTTCCATTCACCACTATGGAAAAAGAACCTTAATGTCTTTTTTGGTTTGTTTTAACCTCCTCATATTAAAAAAAAACAAAAACAAAAACAAAAACAAAAAAAAAACACTCTTAGATAATCACAAATACCGTTGTTAGAAAATTCAGAAGAAAGGTAAGCTATACTTATTGCTTTGCTTTTTTTGGCTGTATGAATTAAATTTAATCTTTTCTGGCCATCTGGACTAAATCTTTTTACTGGAATAAGCTGCTGTGTGGTGCCATAAATATGTCCTGACAGCGACTTATTAAGGAAAGAGTAATTAGATATAATTCAAATTACTGGATCTTAAAACAAATATACACATATATAATATATAAAAACAAGTCCTACCTGTTCTATTGTCTGAAAATTCTCATCTTAGAATGAGACTCCTTTGTTGAAAGGAAGGTTTCAGAAAACTTCCTAATGGAAAATATCTGAGGGTAATGTTTCTAGTTATAGTAATGTTTTAAAAATTATTTAATAATCTCTTGGATCCTCTTGCCCCTTCTCAAGTGGTAGCATGTGTACCTGGCCTATTTCCCATTCATTTGGGAAGTTGTCATTTGCCCAGTTCTTTACATGAGAACTATCCAAAAGAGACCAAAGTAGACAGCCCAGACCTCATGGAGAAAACCAAACCAAATGTGTTTCTTTTCTATTTTCGGTCATAACTAATAGCAGTTTCTATTCGGAAAAGGCCCTCTAGTCACCCCTAGATTAAGGTTCTTTAATCAGCTAGAAAGACCTCATTTACTACAAAGAAGTAGCTTTTTGAAAATTTATCTGGTATGTGGATTCTTTTCATTTGGTTATCACTAAAATCTCTAGTAATAATTTGCACTATAATAGAATGATGGCCTGATAGTAAAGCAATATTAGCAATTCCTATTTGTTCATAATTTGTATTTAATTCTTACAGATGATATTCTTTGAAATGCTAATAAAGTATTGCTTATGCTGATTTTTATGAGACTATCACATTTTTAGAAGTGTATTTACTTATTGTGGTTATTTGTCTTTATTAGTTACTGTTTGATAAATATTTCTTAGGGATTTCTTACCCAGGTAGCTTGGGGCAGTGTGGCAGAGCAGAATAAGATTTGATAAGTGAATTTTCTCCCTATTTAGTTGAGAGGCATAGGAAGAAGAAAATCAATGCTGGGATAAACAGAATAGGAGAGCTGATCCCATGTTCTCCTGCCCTGAAGCAGGTAAGAAGTCGTCTCATATTTTATCATTCCTTGTAGACAGTTCCCTGAGTTGTTTCAGTTCTTGGGATGATTATTTTTGTTCCCTGCCCTTTATGTTGTTGTTGTTGTTTGAGTTAATATTGGTCTTTTTTCATTTGTTTCCTTTTCTGTATACTGTTTGATTCTTTCCACATTTCCAGCAATCTCTGATTACAATTTCCTACAAGGCCCAGTGCACATATAATTTCTAAATTCTTTTTTTTTTAAAGATTTATTTATTTATTTGAGAGGTAGAGTTACTGACAGAGAGAGGGAGAGACAGAGAGAAAGGTTTTCCATTTGCTGGTTCATTCCCCAGATGGCCACAACAGCTGGAGCTGCGCTAATCCAAAGCCAGGAGCCAGGAGCTTTGGCCGGCTCTCCAGGTGGGTGCAGGGGCCCATCCTCTACTGCTTTCCCAGGCCATAGCAGAGAGCTAGATCAGAAGAGCAGCCAGGACTAGAACCAGCACCCATATGGTGATGCCAGCACTGTAGGTGGTGGAGGCTTAACCTATGCCACAGCACTGGCCCCCTAAATTCTTTTTTTTTTTCTTCTGACAGGCAGAGTGGACAGTGAGAGAGAGAGAGAGAAAGTTCTTCCTTTTTCCGTTGGTTCACCCCGCAATGGCCACTGCGGCTGGGGCACCGTGCTGAATCGAAGCCAGGAGCCAGGTGCTTCTCCTGGTCTCCCTTGCGGGTGCAGGGCCCAAGGACTTGGGCCATCCTCCATTACACTCCCTGGCCACAGCAGAGAGCTGGACTTGGAGAGGAGCAACTGGGACAGAATCTGGCGCCCCGACCGGGACTAGAACCCCAGGCTGCCGGCACCGCAGGCAGAGGATTAGCCTATTGAGCCACGGCGCCGGCCCCTAAATTCTTTTAAGTTGTGTTTTCTCTTGATTTATTAAGTCAGCCCATGTTTATGTTTATATATATATACCACTCTATTTACCATGCATTTCTTTTATTTTCTGCCAATTCATGTTCTTTACTCTTTTTAAATTCTTATCTGGAGTCTCCCAAGGATCTCTTCACTGTTTATTCTCCAGTTAATCCCCAAGTGTACTTAAAATCTCAGCTGAAACCATGATAGCTTTCCCTACTGAATACAACTTTGTTTTTTCTAATAATAAAGATAAAGAATGCTTGTTCAAAACAAAATGAAACAAAAAAATTGAAACAATAAGGAAGGCATGAAAGAAATCTAAAAAATAACTTGACAACCCCATCCAACTATTATTAAAATGTTACACATCTCTCCAGACATGCCTTTTTAAATGTATATATCCAATTGTGTTACCCTTTTGTCACTGTAAATAAAACTCAAGGGGCCTGCACTGTGGTGTAGCAGGTAAAGCTGCCGCCTGCAATGCCAGCATCCCAAATGGGTGCTGGTTCAAGTCCTGGCTGCTCCACTTCCAATCCAGCTCTCTGCTGTGGCCTGGGAAAGCAGTAGAAGATGGCCCAAGTCCTTGGCCCCTGCACCCATGTGGGAGACCTGGAAGAAGCTCCTGGCTCAACTCCGGCCATTGCGGCCAATTGGGGAATGAGCCAGTGGATCAAAGACCTACCTACTTACCTCTCTCTCTCTCTCTCTGCCTCTCCTTCTTTCTTTGTAACTCTGACTTTCAATAAATAAATAAATCTCTAAGAAAAAGAAAAACTTGAGACAGTCTAACTTATGAAGAAAAGAAAGTTTGTTTAGTTCACAGTTTGGGAGGTTTAAGTCTAGAATCAGGTCTCCGCACACACTGGTTAAGCCCCTGATGAGGGCCTACCTGTGGATGGAGGTACATCATGGCAGGAGTGCACGTTTCAAAAAGGAAGCCAGAGAGAGGGGGGAGGCTGGACTTGCTGCTTTTATAATAACCCTCTTGAGAGAGCTAACCAAAGTCTCACAAGAAAATACTTTAATCACTTCTGAGGGTGGGGCCCCCCATGACCCATGGGTTTCTCACTAGGCCCCACCTCTTAAAGGTCCATGCCATCTTCCACTGCCACCCTGGAGACCAAGACTCCAACACAAGAGCTTTTGGGGATGGTAGTGTCCTTTCTGTTGTGTCTTGTCTGTCACTCTGCCTATCAAATAGATTAAAAATTTATTTGAAAAATTTTTAAAGCCTCATATTTTTCATTTGCTTAATTTTATATATATTTATCTTTAATTCTTCCAATAGTCCCAGCAGTCTTTTCACACAGTTTCATAGATGGTTAAATATACCACTTAATTTTTGTTTTCTTTTAGCACCTCTGGAATGCTCTGTCCTCCTTTTTCAATCTCAACAAGTTGGTGTTTTCCAACTTTTCTGTTTTTAATTTCAGCTCTTATTTTTAATTTCCAACAATCTTTCTTTCTTATTCCCTGTTTCTCCTTTTCATATCATGTGCTTGTTGTGTGGATACAGTATCATCTCATCTCTGAGTCTTAAATAGATTTGTTTCCTGAAGCTTTCTTCTGTTTTCCAGGTCTGTTTCCTCTGGGTTCCTTCTCTCTGCTTTTGTTTGATGTTTTATCTTTCTGACTGGAGACTTTTTCCTGGATGTTAAATGGTCTATTCAAGTAGCTATCTCTTCATTCTTGAATAGACCATTAAAAAACTGTTTGAATAGACTTGTTTTTTGGTGGCCCTACCTGTTACATGATTAGATGCTGTGCTAGTTTTGTTGTTGTGGAAAGCAAACGTATCAGTGTCTACAATTTTTCTTCTGAGGATAGCTGTTTCCCCCACCCCAGTTCCTACCTGGAGGTGGGTGGTGGAAATGAGGAAGAGCCTGGCTGCTTTTATCTAGGAGCTGGGTTGGGGCTGCAGGATCAAGAGTCTCATGCTTTATGGTGGGCAGTTTTCCTTTACCCCTTTTTCACTTTGTAGCCTCATCTTGTCCACCTTTGTGCCAAGTATCTGTGAGGTCAAAATTCTCTGGTTCAAATGTCACAGAAAATAAACTTGTCTCCTACAGTTGGGGCAGGGGAGGAAGTCAGTCAACTGCATAGGCTGTGTAGGATACGTGTGGTGGTCATGGGGCACTCTTATTATCACTGTATTAAGAGGCTTTCCGTGACCCACCCCCATCCCCCGCCGCCCCGATCCTGCACCCTGCTGTGACAGCTGGGGCTTCTTAGCGTGAGCTCTTGAATGGCCAGATCAGCGACTTCTCAGCATCCTGGCCTTTGGTGAGGCCTTACACTTCCATTTCTTCTCCTTGTTCTCTACAGCGTAGACTTGGACTTCCATAGGTGTTTTTAAAAATAGACTGCTTCCTTACACAATACCAAACACTGTCCTCTGATTGTTTTTCCCACACTTCAGTGTTTAGTAGCTGCTCAGTAAATATTAGTATTTACAAAGTAAAATCTTCTCTTCCTGCTCTTGGCTTTCATTCCTTCCACTTCGTCTCAAGAAAGGAACTTGCGACCATCTCACCTCCTTGATGTCCTAGGGAGCACTGAGCAAGTCTGTTTGGCTCCCAGAAGCAGAGCAGTCGAAGATTCTCTTCACCATCGCTGCACACTCTGACTCTGTCTGCAAAGGAGCAGCAGATCACTGGGCGTTAGCGTGTTCTAGCTCCGTCCAGTGAAGCAGTCACTGCCACGTCTTAAATAGCCAAAGAGCAAAGACCAGAAGTGATTGTTAGCACAATGTTTTCAGCTGTAGATTGGCAAATAAACACATCTATGAAAAGATATGATATCTAAATGCTATATATAAGTATCTTTAAGATATAGTTTTGTTTTATTTAGTTATTCATTTGAAAGGACAACAGAGGAGGAGGAGGAGGAGAGAGAGAGAGACAGAGAGATCTTTATCCACTGGGTCACTCCCCTAATGGCCACAACAGCCAGGACTGAGCTGGGCTAAAGCCAGGAGCCAAAACCTTCATCTGGTCTCCCACATGGGTGGAAGGGGCCCAGGTCCCTGGGCCATCCTCCTGTTCTGTCTCATGTACACTAGCAGAGGCTGGATAAGAGGTGAGCACTGAGACTTGAACTGGCACTCCAACATGGAATGCTGGTCGCAAGTGGCAATTTAATCGTTGCTCAGCACTGCTGGCTCCTCCAGATATGGATTGATATAGACTATTTCTGGAAAGGCATACACGTAATTTTATCATGGTTGCCTCTGCAACTGATCTGGAGAACAAAGGAAAAAGCAGTGTTACTTTTCAATATATATCCCTTCATATTACTTACATTTCTTTGCTACATGCATATTATATTTTCAATTATAAAAGCTATTAATAATAAAGGAGCACTTAGATAAACATGTACAGTCTTCTTAGATAAGCTCAGAAAATTAAAGTTCTGGGAACGTGGCATCAAAACTCAGTCAAGGCGTTGTGGTGTAGTGGTTTAAACTGCCACCTGCAGTGGCATAAAGGCACTGGTTCGAGACCTGGCTGCTCCACTTCTGATCTGGCTCTCTGCTATGGCCTGGGAAAGCAGTGGAGGATGGCCCAAGTGCTTGGGCCCCTGTACCTACATGGGAGACCCAGAGGAGGCTCCTGTCTTCGGATCATCACAGCTCCGGTTGTTGCGGCCAATTGTGGGTAGAAGACTACCAGCGGGTAGAAGACTGACTCTCTCTCTCTCTCTCTCTCTCTCTGCCTCTCCTCTCTCTCTTTCAAAAAAATAAAATAAATATTTAAAAAAAAAAACCCTCAAGTGGCATTTCTTTCTTGGCTTATTATTTCTTTTATTTTTTAAAAGAGTTATTTATTTTTGGCTGGCGCCGCGGCTCACTAGGCTAGTCCTCTGCCTTGCGGCGCCGGCACACCGGGTTCTAGTCCCGGTCGGGGCGCCGGATTCTGTCCCGGTTGCCCCTCTTCCAGGCCAGCTCTTTGCTGTGGCCAGGGAGTGCAGTGGAGGATGGCCCAAGTGCTTGGGCCCTGCACCCCACGGGAGACCAGGATAAGCACCTGGCTCCTGCCATCGGATCAGCGCAGTGCCCTGATGTACATCCATCCACACGGCGGCCATTTGGAGGGTGAAGCACACGGCAAAGGAAGACCTTTCTCTCTGTCTCTCTCTCTCACTGTCCACTCTGCCTGTCAAAAAAAAAAAAAAAGTTATTTATTTTATTTTATTTGAAAGTCAGAGTTATACAGAGAGAGAAGGAGAGGCAGAGAGGCAAAGAGAGAGAGAGTGAAAGAGAAAGAGAGGTGTCTTCCATTTTCTGGTTCACTCCCGAGTTGGCCACAATGGCCGGAGCTGTGCCGATCTGAAGCCAAGAGCAAGGATCTAATTCTGTGTCTCCCACATGGGTGCAGGGGCCAAGGACTTGGGCCATCTTCTACTGCTTTCCCAGGCCATAGCAGAGAGCTGGATTGGAAGTGGAGCAGCCAGGTCTCGAACTGGCGCCATATGGGATTCTGGCACTGCAGGTGGCAGCTTAACCCACTATGCCACTTTGGCCTATTATTTCAAATAATTTGTTAGTTGTGGTTAACAGAGGAAATAATAATAATAACTCCAATTTTATGTGATCATGAAGGCCCTGTTAACCTCTGCTTCTGCCATTCTTCCTCTGTATACTTTCTTGTAGCCCTACTCAATCTCTTACTGTTCTGCAGACATGCCAAACCCAGCCTGCCTTAGGGCCTTTGCCCTTCTGATCTTGCTTTGTGGGCCTTCTTCCTCTGGATATCCACAGGGCCTGCTTCCTTTTATTTCCTTTGAGTTTTTGCTCAGGTATCACCTTACGTAAGAGGGGCTCTCTATGACATCACCTTATTAAAAAAAAATTGTAGCACAGCATCTTAGTTGACGTAAACAACAGAAATCTGTTCATAGTTCGAAGTTGGGAGGTCCAGGATCAAGTGCCAGCCAATTCTGTTCTTGTGAGGGCCTGCTTCTGGTTGTGTCTTCAACTGGATGGAGAAAGAGAAATCATCTTTCTCTTCCTGTAAGGGCACTAATGCTGTTCCCGAGGGCTCCATCCTCTTGGTCTGTTCACCTCCCCAAGGTCCCACCTGCTAGCACCATCACATTGGGGATTAGCTTTCAGAGGTTGGGGACACAAGCATTCAGTCCATAGCAAAGTGTCCTCAGCCTCCACTCCAGTCCTCTCCTTATCCTGCTTCATTTCTCTTTGTAGCACTTTGTGTGTTTGTGTGCACGCACATGTGTGTTGTGCATGTATAACCTTATCACCACGTAATTATTTTACGTACAAGTCCGAGGGCAAGGACTTTGTTTTATATCTCCAGTACCTAGAACAAACCTGATTCAAAGTAAATGCTCAGTAAATATCTAGTAAGTGAAAACAATAGATGCTTTTGAATATGGTACTTATTTTAAAATTTGAAAAGATAAATATGTGAGAAAGCCTAAGCGTTAAGTTTCTTCTGGCAAGTTTTTACCTTTCAATGAACTTTTAAATGATTAATTTTCTTTGGCAGAGCAAGAATATGATCCTGGACCAAGCCTTTAAATATATAACAGAATTGAAGAGGCAAAATGATGAGCTCCTGCTTAATGGAGGAAACAATGAACAAGGTAAAGAGCTGAAGATTCTTTGTGTTGTTTTTCCTTTTTAACGTTTTAGCTTTTGTGTCGCAGTGAATCTGATGTGTGGCTAAACAAAGAAGCCTTTTTTTACACAAATACATTAATGTTTTTTCAAGTGAATTTAAGTATCCATATTTTGTATGAAACCCTCTGTGTTTGTTTTTTTTTTTTTAAGTCATCTTTATTTGAAAAAGTTAGAGTGAGAGAAAGAGGGAGAGGGAGAGAAAGAGAGAGGTCTTCCATCAACTGGTTTACTCCCCAGATGGCTGCAATGGCTAAGACAGGGCAAGGCCAAAGCCAGGAGCCAGGAGCCAGGAGATTCTTCAGGTCTCCCATGTGGATGAAAGAGGTATAAGCACTAGGACCAACTTTCACTGCTTTTTACCAGGCCATTAGCAGGAAGCTGGATCAGAAGTGAAGTAGCCAGGACCCTAGTAATATCGGATACCGGCATTGCAGGCAGCAGCTTTACCCGCCACCCCACTACGCTGTCCCCACCCTCTGAGTTTCAATGTTTATTTTTTATTTTCTTTTCATCTACTTGAAAGGCACAGTGACACACAGAGAGAAATAGAGAGAGAGAACAGGGACAGACAGTTCTCCCATCTGCTTGTTTACTCCCAAATGCCTGCAGCAGTCAGGGCTGGGCCAGAATGAAGCCAGGAACCCAGAGCTCCACCTGGGTCTCCAACATGGGTGGCAGGGAGCCAAGCACTTGAGTCATCCTCTGCTGCCTTCCCAAGCATGTTAGCAGGAGGCTGAATCAGAAGCAGAGTAGGCAGAACTCAAACCAGCATGCCACTATAAAATGCACACATTGCAAGCAGTGACTTAACCAGCTACACCTCAACACTTGCCCCCAAAACATTCAGACCCTGCAGCCAATAGGTATAGGAGAATAGCGTTTAAGTAAATTCATCTTTGTTTAACTCTTTTCCCTCTTCTGTGTGTGACTGATCTTGAAGGTGTGTAATTTTGATTTTGGATTCCTCTGTGTCATGTTTCCGAACTCATAATGCTAATAACACTAAATCTGCTTTATTCCAGTTGGATCTTGTGATTGGGGAATCCTATGAGAATTTAGGGGGTAGTTATACTCAGTATAACTTAAAAACAAGGTAGAATATAACTGTGCTAATACTTGATGTGCCTTTACTCGAAAGGCCAAAATATTCAGTTAATAATTGTTTGCTGCATGTAATTTGTTCATTAAACTACCTGATCAAGGCCGGCGCCGTGGCTCACTAGGCTAATCCTCCGCCTAGCGGCGCCGGCACACCGGGTTCTAGTCCCGGTCGGGGCGCCGGATTCTGTCCCGGTTGCCCCTCTTCCAGGCCAGCTCTCTGCTGTGGCCAGGGAGTGCAGTGGAGGATGGCCCAGGTGCTTGGGCCCTGCACCCTATGGGAGACCAGGATAAGCACCTGGCTCCTGCCATCGGATCAGCGCGGTGCGCTGGCCGCAGCGCGCTGGCCGCGGCGGCCATTGGAGAGTGAACCAACGGCAAAGGAAGACCTTTCTCTCTGTCTCTCTCTCTCTCTCACTGTCCACTCTGCCGGTCAAAAATAAACAAAAAAACCTACCTGATCATTTAATGACATCTGATTTTTAGATAGAGGTGGCTATTTTTTGTTATCAACTAAATTCCATTTTTCCACTACATTGGAGAGAAGCTTTCCTAACAGCAACTAAAAAGAAAAACATATGGGGCTGGTACTGTTGCATAGTGGGCTAAGCTTCCACCTGTAGCACTGGCATCCTATGTGGGCACAGGTTCAAGTACCGGTTGCTCCTCTTCCAATCTAGCTCTCTGCTGTGGCCTGGGAAAGCAGTATAAGATGGCCCAAGTCCTTGGGCCCCTGCACTGGTGTGGGAGACCCAGAAGAAGCTCTTGGCTCCTGGCTCCTGGCTCCTGGCTCCTGGCTCCTGGCTCCTGGCTCCTGGCTTCAGATCAGCCCACCTGCGGCCATTGCGGCCATTTAGGGAGTGACCCAGCAGCCAGAAGACCTTTCTCTCTGTCTCTTCCTCTCTCTGTCTGTAACTCTACATCTCAAGTAAATAAACAAATCCCCCAAGAAAAAGAAAAACATCCAAGGCATGAGCATATAGCACACAGTAGTAGGCCAGTTTGAATTGTCTTTTATTCATGGCTCTGACAAGAGCAGGGAGTTTCCTCTGCTGGTTCAGTAGGCCACATTTAAGGGGAGAAAAATGGAATTTGCTGAGGTAGGAGCAGTGCTGGGCTGTGCATTGGGTGGGTAGGAAGAATATTCCAAAACGGATCCAGGAAGTCAGCCTTCAGAACTGTCCCTTTTTACCTTTAGTTAAATTACAGTTTATACCTCTTCTAGGACAGTAAGTCTTATATGGTCCTGCCCTTCCTTGGGAAGCTGTTATTTTTTATTTTTATTTATTTATTTATTTATTTATTTATTTTGACAGGCTGAGTGGATAGTGAGAGAGAGAGACTGAGAGAAAGGTCTTCCTTTTGCCGTTGGTTCACCCTCCAATGGCCGCCACGGCTGGCGTGCTGTGGCCGGCGCACCGCGCTGATCCGAAGGCAGGAGCCAGGTACTTCCTCCTGGTCTCCCACGGGGTGCAGGGCCCAAGCACTTGGGCCATCCTCCACTGCACTCCCTGGCCACAGCAGAGAGCTGGCCTGGAAGAGGGGCAACCGGGACAGAACCAGCGCCCTGACTGGGACTAGAACCCGGTGTGCTGGCGCTACAGGTGGAGGATTAGCCTAGTGAGCCGTGGCGCTGGCCGGGAAGCTGTTATATAGTTAGCTATGTAATATGAGTAGATGTTGGGTAACCATTTCAAGGCACTTCACAAAAGAAATAGTAAGGCCAAAACTTTTCTAATGAAGGCAACTTTGACTTCAGAGCACAAAGGCTGAGACAATTAAGTGGCATTAGGGGAAAGGGAAACCATTGAAAAAATACGAGTTACATAGCACTTAGAACAAGCTGAAGAGCCAGGCCATGGGTTGGGGCGGCACCTGAGGCAACTTACATTGTCATCTCTGTCAGGATCATTTTATTTCCTGATTCCTTTTCCTGCGTCTGCTCTTTCCTCATTTTGTGTCCCAGAGGTACATCCTCTGCTGCTTTCCCAGGCGCATTAAAAGGGAGCTGGATCAGAAGTGGAGCAGCCAGGACTCTAACAGGTGCCACAGTTGCAGGCGATGGCTCAACCTACTTTGCCACAATGCTGACCCCTCAGTCTTCCTATCTTAAAGTCAGAATAACCATAGTATCTACCTGGCTGACTGTATGCAAATACGCTGAGCTTATTTCTCACATCTAAGAATGATGTGAGACTCTTAGGAGGATTAAAAGAGATAGTATCAGAGAAGCACTTAGGATGAAGTGTAGCCTGTAGTAAAAGCTTGATAGGTGTGAAATGCTGTCATTGTCGTTGTTATTAAATAAGACAGCATAGAAAAGTGCCAGGCAGTATTTGTACAGTAAATGGGAACAATAGTCATTATTTGTTTATGAATGTCTTTAATTTCTAATGTCCTTGGCACTCTGACATCTTTGGTCTCTTAGCTTGAGTATATGAGAAAAATGCCCTGCTAGTCTCAGCTAATCCTCGCTGAAATGGAACCTTCTATTTCAGGCTCCCTCACAGGGGATTGGTCTTAAGGATTGAATACCTGTTGTGTGGGGAGGGCTGAGAATATCTACCATTGTGGCAAAACAGATTAGGATATATGGGTCACAGAGCTTAAACACCAGCAGCCAAAGCTGCCCCTTTAATAAACTCATGGGTGAAGCTGTCTCCCTTAGAAAGGAATAAGAGAGGGGCCGGCGCTGTGGCGCAGTGGGTTAAAGCCCTGGCCTGCAGTGCCAGCATCCCGTTTGGGCACCAGTTCTAGTCCTGGCTGCTCCTCTTCCGATCCAGCTCTCTGCTATGGCCTGAGAAAGCAGTGGAAGATGGCCCAAGTCCTTGGGTCCCTGCACCCATGTGGGAGACCCAGAGGAAGCTCCTGGCTCCTGGCTTCAGATCGGATCGGATCAGCACGGCTCCCACTGTTGCAGCCAACTGAGGAGTGAACCAGCGAATGGAAGACCTCTCTCTCTGTAACTCTGTCTTTCAAATAAATAAAAATAAATCTTTAAAAAGAAAAAAGAGTAGGAGTGTGACAGACACCTTCACTTCTCAATAGCACCCCACCTTGGCCCTCTCAAGGAAAATACGGGTTCCATTGCTGTACTTTCTTTGGGATTCCTACCACTTCTTATGTGTTGTTGTTCTTTTCAGTCTCCATTGTTACAAAGGATAAAATAAAAACCAAAACTGCTTACAAGAGAGACTGTGAGGAGAGTCTCTAAAATCTTCATGGAAAATATGTTTTATGAAAAAAAAAACTATCCATGAATTCAAAATAACTTTTGCACCAAAATAAACTTATCATTTAATTCTGTTTCCGTGAACTTTTTGAAGTACGCTTGTATTACTAAAGTAATGTTAGCTGTTGCAGCATTTGAATGGTATTTCTATGGATATTCAATGTTATTTTCCAAGCATGTTACTGTGATGTAAGTATGTCTTGCCTAGCTTTACCTGTGTAAGTACCCTTGTGGAAATTTTTAATTTGGGAACTTTGAGATTTTTACATTACAAGTAATTTTTCAGTTGTTGCCCTTTAAAGATATATATTTTTTAAAAGGCATATTTTAAAAGATATATATTTTTAAAAGATATATATTTTTGAGGTGAGGGTTTGAGACACCATTCCTTTTTGGTTTTTTTAAAGATTTACTTATTTTTTGAAAGAGCTACAGAGAGAGAAAGAGACAGAGATAGAGAGAGAGATCTTCCATCTGCTGGTTCACTCCCCAAATGACTGTAATGGCCATGGCTGGGCCAGGCTGAGGCCAGGAGCGTTATCCAGGTCTCCCAGATGGGTAGCAGGGGCCCAAGTACTTACTTGGGCCATCTTCCGTTGCTTTCCCAGGATATTAGCAGGGAGCTGGATCAGAAATGGAGCAACCAAGACTCAAACCTGTGCCCTTATGAGATGCTGGCGTTGCAGGCAGTGGCTTTACCTGCTTCACCATAACACCAACCCCTGAGATGCCATTCCAAGAAAAGAAAGAACTTGTATTAGAAAAGACCTGATGATTCTCACTAGGGGTGTTTAGAATGCTGGCAGGAGCATTCAGTAGTTTAATACACTATTCCTTCTTAAGTTCTAAAAACTGACATTCACTTGTATTTTTTAATTTTTATTTTTAATGGTATAGCTGAAGAAATTAAAAAGCTACGGAAGCAACTGGAAGAAATCCAAAAAGAAAATGGACGATATATTGAATTACTGAAAGCAAATGACATCTGCTTATATGATGATCCCACAATCCACTGGAAAGGAAATCTTAAGAACTCAAAGGTCTCTGTTGTTATTCCGAGTGACCAAGTTCAAAAAAATATCATTGTTTATTCTAATGGGAGTCAGCCTGGTGGAAACAGCCAGGGAACAGCTGTTCAGGGGATAACCTTTAATGTTGGTCATAATTTACAGAAACAAACCGCCAACGTGGTGCCAGTGCAGAGGACTTGCAATCTTGTGACTCCTGTGTCTATTTCTGGAGTTTACCCTTCGGAAAACAAGCCATGGCATCAGACCACCGTTTCTGCATTGGCTTCCAACCAGCCTGTCCCTCTTTGTCTTCCTGCTACCATTTCTGCTCAGAATATTCTCGAGCTTTCCACCTCTGAAAGCGAATCAAGTGTGCTGGGTGTCACTAATGGCTCACTGATCGCTGTTCCAGTTGGGCCTGAACCCCACCAACATCGTTCTTTGAACACACGTCTAAATGATCGACACTCTTCTGACAATAAGAATGGGCAAGAGAGCCCCAAATTATTAAAGACGACAACCTCTTGTGCTACAAGCATCCCCCCCAGCTCCTCAGCAACTGCCAGTAAAGTGTGCCAGGGAAACAAGTCCTGTCTGAGCATACAGGACCTCAGAGGTGACCTTCAGAACACCTTAGTTGTATCAGTTACCACTACCGTCTGTTCCCAGCCTCCCAGATCCACAGGTGATTCTTCTCCAGTGAGCATCAGCAAGAGTGCAGATTCGACAAGTACAACCACTGCGGTGGCACCATCTGCCCCTGGAGTAGGGAGGACTACCACTTCTGTAAGCGCTCTTTCTACTAATTCTCTGGACAGTGGTTGGACTTGTTCTTTGCCTTCTTCAAGTGTTAGCACTTCAGATTTGAAAAACATTAACAGCCTTACCCGAATTTCTTCAGCTGGAAACACACAGACAACATGGACTACTTTGCAACTGGCAGGAAACACTATTCAGCCTTTAAGCCAGACATCATCTTCCACTGTGACTCCAGTATTAAATGAGTCTGGTACTAGTCCCACCACAAGCAGCCACAGTAGACACATAGCTCCAGCCGTCAGCCTAAATAATTCCTTTCCAGCAGATGGGCAGCCAGTTGAGCAAGTAGTTGTAACCTTGCCTTCTTGTCCATCTTTACCTATGCAGCCACTAATTGCCCAGCCGCAAGTTAAATCTCAGCCTCCAAAAAGTATCCTTCCGCTGAATTCAGCAATGCAGGTGATCCAGATGGCACAGCCAGTTGGGTCGGCCATTAGTGCAGCTCCGGCTAATCAAAACGTTATCATTCTTCAGCCACCCAGCTCTGCCCCATGCCCAGCGGTGGTGAGGGCAGAGGTTCCCAGCCAAACAGTCGGTCAGCAGATAGTGATCATACAGGCAGCTAATCAGAATCCTTTGCCGCTTCTCTCTGCTCCACCTCCTGGTTCTGTTCGACTCCCTATCAATGGAGCTAATGCTATAATAGGGTCGAATAATGCAATGCAAAATGTTTCAGCTCCACAAACTTTCGGAGGAAAGCATCTCGTCCATATATTACCAAGACCTTCATCTTTATCAACATCTAATTCAACACAAACTTTTTCTGTCACCATGTCAAACCAACAACAGCCTCAAACCATCTCTTTAAACGGACAGCTCTTTGCTTTGCAGCCTGTGATGACTTCATCAGGAACTACAAATCAAACCCCTATGCAAATTATTCAACCCACCACCAGCGAAGATCCAAATACCAATGTTGCCCTGAATACATTTGGTGCTTTGGCCAGCCTCAATCAAAGTATATCGCAGATGGCTGGGCAAAGCTGTGTACAGTTGTCTATTAGCCAGCCTGCCAATTCTCAAACTGCTGCAAAAAGTCAGACCACCCCAGCTAACTGTGTTCCATTAACAACAGCTGTAGCACCTCCCGTAACCACAGACAATTCAGCCACACTACCCAGTACTTATAATCTAGTGACTGCTCCCCCAGCAAACACTGTCACTTGTTTGCCACCTACTGTGAAGTCAAAAAGGTTGAATAAGAAGCCAGGTGCCAAAAAACCCTTAGCAGCCAGCAAACCAGCATGCCCCCTGAATGCAGGCCGAGATGCTGGCAAATTAGACTGCCCCAGGGCTGAAGGCTCAGCGGAGCCGTCCTGTAACGATGGACTGCTGGAGAACCTCCCCAGTGTGTTACCATCTGTTGCTGTGTCCCAGTCAAATACTGTAAGTGTTCCTGTGTCACAGTCTTCAGATGTTCTGAATTCTCAGTCAGTGATACCTGAGTCTGTATCCAAATATAAGTCAGCGGAAGAATCTCCTTCACCCTCCCAAGAATCTGTCACAAGTGAACATTTTACAGTGGCTCCAGCAAAACCCAAAGATTCTACCCCTACTCTGCAACAAGAGACGTCTCAGGATAAAACAGCAGCTAGTTCAGCTCTGTCAGATGCTGCCACATCCTGCACTTCAGCCAGTGTGTTCATTCCATCTCCAAACGATGCCCACGTTTTGGCTTCTCAGGTTTCTGACTTGTCATCTACCGCAAGCACTACGACTACTGACTGTGTTTCTGAGGTAGAAATCATTGCTGAACCTTGCAGGGTTGAGCCAGATTCGTCAAATACAGCGCAAAACACAGGTGTCTTAAAGGGACAAGGTTTAACTACATTGCTTTCGGATCTTGCTAAAGAAAAGGACCCTCAGAAATCACCTCTTTCGATGCAGATGGATAATCCTGACTTTTCTTCCGAAAATTCTAAAACAGCTGACTCAGGGGTGGCTTTACATCCCAAACAGGAACTGCTGCTGATGAATAATGATGAAAGAGATCCCCCCCAGCACCATTCCTGCCTCCCGGATCAGGAGGCTATCAGCGGCTCCTTGCTCAGCAGTCGGCAGGCTGACTCCCCGATGTCAACCAGCTCTGGCAGCAGCCGCAGTTTCTCAGTTGCATCCATGCTTCCTGAAACAACTAGAGAGGACGTGACCAGCCACGCAACAACGCACGCCTGCGACAGCTGTACCTTTGCGGAGCAAACTGACATAGTGGCTCTTGCAGCAAGAGCTATTTTTGACCAGGAGAACCTTGAGAAGGGAAGAGTCAGCGTCCAGGCTGATAGGAGGGAAGTTGCTTCCAAGCCTCCTGAAGCATCACCGTTAGAAGGAGACCAGCCTTTTAAGTCACAGCTTCCTAAGGAGAATGGCCCAGGACAAGCAGAAGGAGCACCGAATGGATTGCATGCTCAGGATTCAGCTGAAGCAGCCGTGGAGAAGTCAAGCTGTTCACTAGGAATTAAAACGTCGAATGCTCCTTTGCAGGTTTCAACTTCTCAGCCACCAAGCATCACTAGTTTAAGCGTGAATAACCTTATCCATCAGAGCAGCATCAGCCGCCCTCTGGTCAGCTGTGCCGGTTTAGCGCAGACTTCAGAGCCAACGACTGTTCCTGCAACGGTCGGTCTGACCGTTCCATCCAGCTCCTATGGCAGCCAGCCTCCTGGGCCGTCTCTCATGACAGAATATTCCCAGGAACAACAGCTAAGTACCATGACTAGTGCTATACCGAATTCACAGATTCAGGAGCCGCTCTTAAAGTCAAGTCATGAAGGCCGTAAAGATTCTGCTAAGCGGGCCGTCCAAGAGGACCTTTTACTGTCTTCGGCCAAACGTCAAAAGCATTGTCAGCCAGCCCCACTGAGGCTTGAAAATATGTCCCTGATGAGCCGAACTCCAGACAGCATTTCCGATCAAACGCAAATGATGGTCAGTCAGATGCCTCCCAACTCTTCCAACTCAGTCGTGCCCGCCAGCACGCCAGCCCACGGAGACGGCCTCACACGATTATTTCCACCTAGTAGCAACTTTGTGGCCCCTGTGTTGAGGCAAGCTGAAGTCCAGTGTGGCTCGCAGCCTCCGGTAGCTGAGCAGCAGCAAACCCAGGCAAGTCAGCATCTGCAGGTGCTGCAGCAGCACGTGCCCGCTCAGGCGGTGTCTCACCTGCACAGTAACCATCTCTACGTCAAGCAGCAGCAGCAGCAGCAGCAGCAGCAGCAGCAAGCAGGGCAGCTCAGAGAGAGGCATCACTTGTACCAGCTGCAGCACCATGTACCTCACGCCGAGAATGCTGTCCACTCCCAGCCCCACAGTGTCCACCAACAGAGGACTCTACAACAGGAGGTCCAGATGCAGAAAAAGAGGAATCTCATTCAGCCCCAGGCCTCTCAGCTCTCCTTACAACCAAAGCATCATGGGACGGACCAGTCCCGGCCCAAGAGTGGTCAGCCCCATCCCCACCATCAGCAGCTGCAGCAGCAGATGCAGCAGCACTTTGGGAGTTCCCAGCCAGAGAAGAACTGTGAAAACCCGTCAGCCAGCCGGCCCCACCATAACCACCCCCAGAACCACCTCAGTCAAGACATCCTGCACCAGCAGCAGGATGTGGGAAGCAGGCAGCAAGGGTCAGCAGTTTCTTCTGAACATGTATCTGGGCATAATCCAATGCAGAGGCTTTTGACATCAAGAGCCTTAGAGCAACAAATGGTGTCCCAGCCTAGCATTGTGAGTAGACCTTCAGACATGCCTTGTACTCCGCACAGGCCAGAAAGAAACAGAGTTTCAAGTTACTCTGCTGAGGCTCTCATCGGAAAGACCTCGTCTAATTCAGAGCAGAGAATGGGTATATCTATTCAGGGTTCCAGGGTTTCAGATCAGCTTGAAATGAGAAACTATCTTGATGTTCCCAGAAATAAGAGTTTGGCTATTCATAACATGCAGGCTCGTGTGGACCACACTGTTGCCTCAGAGATCCGCCTTTCAGATTGTCAGACGTTTAAGCCAAGTGGAGCCAGCCAACCGCCACAGAGTAATTTTGAAGTACAGTCTTCGAGAAATAATGAAATAGGTAACCCTCCTGTATCATCTTTGCGGAGTATGCAGTCCCAGGCTTTTCGAATTAGTCAAAACACTGGTCCCCCACCAATCGACCGGCAAAAGAGATTACCTTATCCACCAGTCCAGAGCATCCCATCAGGAAATGCCATCCCGCCAAGGGACGGTGAAAATACGTGTCACCAGAGTTTCATGCAGAGCTTACTTGCCCCTCACCTCGGTGATCAGGTCATTGGGAACCAACGGTCACTCTCAGAGCATCAGAGGAACGCACAGTGTGGTCCATCCTCTGCAATTGAATACAATTGTCCTCCAGCTCATGAAAGCGTCCATATCAGAAGAGAGAGTGAGAGTCAGAATAGAGAAAGTTGTGACATGTCTTTAGGTGCAATTAACACCCGCAACAGCGCCTTGAATATTCCTTTTTCAAGCTCTTCTTCCTCAGGAGATATTCAGGGTCGAAACACAAGTCCCAGTGTTTCTGTGCAGAAGTCCAACCCCATGAGGATTACTGACAGTCATGGGACTAAGGGCCACATGAACCCTCCGGTCACAACCAACATGCATGGGGTTGCAAGGCCAGCTTTACCACACCCATCTGTTTCTCATGGAAATGCTGACCAAGGGGCTCCTGTACGTCAAGCTAATTCTTCAGTTGCCCAGAGATCAAGGCACCCCCTGCAAGATAGCAGTGGTTCCAAAATTCGTCAACCTGAAAGGAATCGTTCTGGAAACCAAAGACATAGTAATGTCTTTGATCCAAGTCTTCCCCATCTTCCTCTCTCTACAAGTGGAAGTATGATTCTTGGACGTCAACAGCCTGCTGCAGAGAAGAGAGGAAGTATTGTTCGTTTCATGCCTGATAGCCCACAAGTACCTAATGATAATTCAGGTCCTGACCAGCATACGCTATCACAAAATTTTGGTTTTCCTTTTATTCCTGAGGGTGGCATGAATCCACCAATAAATGCTAATACTTCATTCATTCCACAGGTTTCTCAGCCTAGTGCCACTCGAACTCCAGCCCTAATCCCAGTAGATCCCCAAAATACTCTCCCCTCCTTCTATCCCCCATACTCTCCTGCTCATCCTACACTGTCCAATGATATCTCAATCCCCTACTTCTCCAATCAGATGTTCTCAAATCCCAGCACAGAGAAGGTGAACGGCGGAAGTTTAAATAACCGATTTGGATCAATTCTATCTCCTCCTAGACCTGTTGGTTTTGCTCAGCCAAGTTTTCCTCTTCTCCCCGATATGCCACCAATGCACATGACCAACTCTCATTTATCAAACTTTAATATGACATCCTTATTTCCAGAAATAGCTACAGCTCTTCCTGATGGCTCAGCAATGTCACCTTTGCTCACAATTGCAAACTCCTCTGCCTCTGACTCCTCCAAGCAGTCCTCAAACAGACCTGCCCACAACATAAGCCATATTTTAGGTCATGACTGCAGCTCAGCTGTTTAAATGCTGATAAACTAAACATAAAGGTAATGGGTGAGATTACAAATGCATTTGTGTGTGCTGCACACAGACATGTACATGAAGAGAGGGATTGTGTGTTTGTGTCTTTGTATAATCAATGTTCAGTTCTCTTTTAAATGCAGAGAAGCCATGTCAGAGATGGTGCAAATACTGAGTTGTCAAAAACTATCTTTTGTTTTTAATTGCATGGTGTGCTTTTTTATTTTCCAAGGAGATTTACATTTCAAAGGTTGATCTGTAATCCTTTGCTCCATAAATACTAATCAACTGGAAGTTAAGGGAAATCATTTTGGCATGTCTTGGATTGTAGTAAGGAGCCTAAATTTTTAAACTTGATTGCTGATAATTTAGATAGTTCAGTTGCTACCCAAAAATATCACAGCTTGATAAAACATCAAGTGCTGGCTAATATCAACTAAACAGTTTCTTACCCATGGTATGTTATGGATTGACTTAGAATTGAATATCCGTAGTTCAATGCAAGCAGTTAGCACATAAATCAGTTGTTTAATTAACCTTCATTCCTGAAGTTGGGTTTAGGCGGATTATTCTTCCTTACTTATAACAATTAATAAATTATCTGAATTTCATGTCCTGTTCCTCACATTAGGGAGCCACACTATCCTTTAATGTGCCAAGATCCTTTGAGGCAAAGGTCTTCCGTAGACAATTAGCCTTAGAAACAGAAAGCTAAAAAGTAAATTAATGTTTTCCATTTTGTACCAGGCCACAAGGATAACAGCAGTTACCTTGCATGGAGTTTTTAACTATTGATGTTTCATCAACTGAGTTTTGATTTAGTATTTTATCTCCATTTAATTTATTGCACCTTGAAATAAATTCTTTTTATTTAAATATTAGGACCAATCAGTAAATGATGTGTTTGGAAGCTACACTTTTATTTGAGCCTTACTTTTAAAATATTTCTGAAGAGTTTTAAGCTCTGTCAGTATTTTCATTTACTGATACTTATATTTTAAATACGGCATTGTATATTGTATGATTATCCTTCATAACAGAACTATAATGAGATGAATTTGTTCACTATTTTTCTTGATGATAGGTATGAATAGGTGCTTCAGGATAAATCTTTATGTCTCTGTGTGTGAGAGTGTATGTGTACACAGACAGATTTTAAAGTATAAACTGGTCCTTACCATTCCACAATGTATATATACTTCAGAACATCATGTTGTACATGAGAAATAGACAGATTTATCTGTTAAGTTAAAAATAATTTTTTGAAAAACTAAGCCTACCTTCTGAAAATGGAAAATTGAGACCTGCGAAAGAATAGAAAACTTGATGTAGGTTTGGGTGTTTAAAAGCCCCACTGAAGGTCATAAGTTTAAAAACACATGTATTGAATTTTGAAAACTTAAGCTAAGAAAGCAACTGTATATACCCATTTTCTTAAACCCACTACTTTTTTGTTCTATTCTGCCAAAAATGGGAGAGGGTGGGAGAGATGCATATAAATTGTGTGTCTGCTCTGTTAAAGAAGTGAACCCAAGGACCAGTGTTTTTGTTACTGTGTTTTCACCCTAAAAACACTGCGGCCTCAGGCCTGGTCAGAGCAGCAAGCTCCAGTGAATACCTCCTCTGAAGACTCAGCAAAAGGGTCACCTGTGCCTCTGCAACCGTTCCTACCCAATGGCCCTGTTGCTGCTGCCAACTACAGCGGCCTGCGGGGGCGGAAGCTCCCTTCCACCAGGAAAGCCTGGATTTTCTCCCTTTGAAAGGGTCTTGGAGAAGAATGGGAGAGCTTCACACACAAGTTACTTAAGACAACAGATAATCACAGCTCTTAGAATTTTTTTGAAGGGGGAAAAAAGATTTATAAGTTGCTTTTTAATTCTCTTAGAGACTGAATTTTAAGCTTTAACATTGAAGGTTTCCTTTGTACTTGAAAGATCCAATCTGCCAATTTCAGGAAGGGCAGTTTTCTGTGCATTTAGCTGTTCATTCTCCCGTGTTCTTTTCTCTCATACACACACGCATGCACACACACACGCAATGGCAGTTGAGGTCCAAAAAACTGGGGACAGCTAGATATAATTGGAACTAAGATAATAGCTTAGGAGATGCTCCCTTTCAGCATGGCAATGCAAAGACCTCAGCACCTGGGCTTCCCGCCTTTTGTGTTGTGCTGATTGTATTTTCTTGTTCGCTTGCCTTTGCATTTCTGAGAACTTTTGCAAGAATGTAACACTTCAGTATTGAATGAATCTCAGTAAGGCTTATTTGACCATCTGAAGGAAGATGTGACTGTCTACAAAGAACTGGGTACCTACTTAGACTTAGCTCCCGCTTCACTTTGCAGACATATGCTTATGATCGGTTCAGAATCAGGCTCAGTTCTGAAAGTGTTGCCACCACAGTGCTCTTACTTGATTTTAAAGCATGACTATATGAGACTTCCCAGCAGTACTAAGTATTCAGTGGGTAGAGCTCTGATTTGAAGGAGGAAATTTGTTGTACAGTATCCAGTGTAAAGGAATGAAAGAAAATGCAGTTAATTTTGGGTATAGTAAATTTAATGTTATTCTTGGCTCGCCAAAATACGACTGTAGGAAGAACTTTTTCCACAAATAATTTCATAACTTTGGGAAATATACATAGTTATGTCTGAGGTGTAAGTGAGAATCATTTCTCTTCCTCTCTTTTAGCATCGTTGACCATTCAGTTACAGAAAGTGGTTGATTCCTGTCAACGTTTAACCATTAGTTACAATGAGGTGAAAATTGTGTTTCTCTTCATGCATAACTTCATCAATGACTGTGAGATGCATCAGTCATAAATGAAAGGAATCCAATTTGATGTTATTTCTTTTGGGGGAAGATACATGTTGCTTTGGGATGTCTTGTATGTTGTTCTGTACCACTTCAGGAAGTTTGTTTTTGTGGGAACTTTTGGGGTACCAGAGAAGGCACTTTTTTCTAAGTAAGGCACAAGACTTCCACAGTGATCATGCTTTATAAAATGTAATATATCAGAACTGTGGGGAGGGAATGAAGGGAGTGTTCTCTTGCAGCGATTTCCAGTCACACACCAGGGTTGTGTTGAACTGCAATGAAGGTGGACTTTTAAAAACCAACCCTCCGAAAACACATAGTTAAGCATGGCCTTGCTCTTGCTTTAACTTCATGAAGAGGGTAAAACAACATACACTCCAGATAATGTGGTGAAACAGTTTAAGGGAATAACGTTAAAATTTTGAGGAAAGATAAAGACTCAGTAATATGCACCTGCTTAGCTCTGTCCTTTTGATCCATGGGTCCCTAGGCTCGTGCTTCTTTCAGCTGCTCCCTGTCAACAGAGTGGCAGGGACCCTGGTCGTTTTCTTAGCAGAGTCATTACTCCTTTGCCTCGAAGCATGCGGTGGACCTACCAACTCTTAGATCACGGTGTGGTAGTGAGTCCTATTCCCAAATCTCTGACTCCAGTTCCTGGCTTTGACAACCTCTATGCTTCCTTTTCTTGTAAGGGACAACAATTTTTGAAACAATATTAGTTCAGAATTCATTTTAAATGTTTAAAATATCACAATGTGCCATATAGTTCTGTTCTTTGATTTGATGAACTTTTCCTTCCAATGGCGGAATGAAGAAAGGGCAAATGTACAAAAATAAAATGTGTTCGTGTTCTTAGGCATCTGGAAGTCACTGTTACAATTCTGTTATCTATCTAAATTGTGTCTGTGCTTGGAAGTAATGTGCCTATGGTTGTGAATACCTAGAAGGCAATGGGAGTAGCCAACCAGAGGAACTAGTTTGAAGTTAATCTCTCTGTGATGATTTTATGATACCTATATGCAAATTAAAGGCAGGAGTTAGTTTCGTCTTGAGATGCCTCTCTGACTAAATGTCACCATTTTTCCTTCCCAGAATTGTCACTTAGCTACATTCTCTCGGCGTTCTACTCTCTTTGTGAGGTTTCTACTAGAGTGAAATCAAAAAGATTATTTCTACTAGAGTCTGCGATGGACACTAAGTTTAGATTGTCTAGGTTGAGGCAGTCTCATCCATGCTGGGGAGAAGCGTTTCCGTGTTGGACACACAGCTGGTAGTTCTGTCCACATGCCTCTGCCCTGGTACTGCACTTTACCTGAAATTGTGCCTCTGGTCCTTAGACCGGCTACTGGGACATATCGCTCACCCACCCCTCTGTTACAGGAAAGGGCCAGCTGGGAGGGTTCATGATGGATAGTCAGACGCTTCCTAGAAGACAAGAACAGCTGATGTTTTCGCACTGTTGCCTTATCATTCTCTGAGCCATCTTTGAAGCTCATCTCATAAGAAAAAACTTAGCTAGTTAGTGGCAAACCTTTTCAACTCAGAGCTTGTATGTGGTGATCATTCCACATCCTTATATCTAGATTTGCAGAAACTCTGTCAGTGGAATTTTTGTGGCATGTGTATGTGATCAGATGCTCGGTAAATATGAGCCAACTTGGCTTGAAAATATTGGGTATAATATCAAAACCAGTGTCATTGTGGATGACTGTATAATCTACCACTAGAACATTTCGTGAGACCCAGAGGGTAACCCTTCATTCATAACACAAATTTTTTTAAAAAGATGATATTTAATTTTTTGGCTTAGTTGTGTGTGTGCACACCCATACTAAGTCATAGAGGCTTAAAACTTGATCCATCTAAATATCTTCTCCACTTTTTTGAAATATCTCTGTCGTCCCACCCCTGAAGTCTTAAAATCATTTCTCACCTGTGAGGTCACTGAGGCACTGGACTTGACTACAGTGGTAACCTTTAAGGGGAGCTGGACTGTTGATCTCCCAAGAAGAGAGGGACCAGACAGTGTTGCTAAAGATGCTGCAGTTGTATTACTGTGAAGAAAAGATTTGCTTCCACTTTCAGCAGGCTAGATGTATAGATATAGATATATATTTTCATTTTAGTAAAAACGGTTGAAAAATCTGAGAACATAATTACCTTCACAAATTATTTATGGATACACTGGGTGAGAAGCTTACTATAGGGCAGTGACCAGGAGAAAACCAACTTTAGTGCTTTCAATAGTGTAATATTTGTATCTATTACTATGCCAGCAATGTCTGCTGTGCACCGTGTCCTATTACTGTAAATCACCTGGTTTATAATTCTAATGGAAATTAATTTGTTTTGTAATGGAATCCAGAGCAGATATGTATAATATGATCAGGATTGTCCTCTGCTGTAAATAAGAATAAGTCCTGTTTATTTTGACATCTTTTTACAAATACATTGTATTAGGGTGTGAATATTCCAAACCATGCTCTTGTTTAAAGTTTTGAAATTTTTATTGTTAAATGTAACATTTTAATGGTTGTAATAATTATTTGTATAGATATGAATATAGTATTTTATTTAAGAAAATAAACTTTGCATTTTTGCATTGTGAATTCTGTCTTTTCTGATCATTGCATGTGCCACTTCAAACCTGTGACTTGGATGCTGAAAGTAGTGCCATGACAGGTTTCCAGGAGGTTTGTATTCCTGATCAACCAGCCACCTTCAAATAAATCATAATTATGACCAAAACTTCACCTCTAAACTCGTTATAAAAAGCAATATTAGTATTTTAGAGTTAGAAGAGTGTTGCCTTTGTGAATAGTGGAAGAAATTAGGCCGGTGCCGCTGCTCACTAGGCTAATCCTCCACCTGCGGCGCTGGTACACCGGGTTCTAGTCCCGGTCGGGGCGCCGGATTCTGTCCTGGTTGCCCCTCTTCCAGGCCAGCTCTCTGCTGTGGCCTGGGAGTGCAGTGGAGGATGGCCCAAGTCCTTGGGCCCTGCACCCCATGGTAGACCAGGAGGAAGCACCTGGCTCCTGGCTTCGGATCGGCGCAGCACCAGCCGTAGCGGCCATTTGGGGGGTGAACCAACGGAAGGAAGACCTTTCTCTCCATCTCTCTCTCTCTCACTGTCTAACCTGCCTGTCAAAAAATAAATAAAAAAAGAAAAGAAATTAAAGCAAGACCTTTTTAAAAAACTTATCTGAAAGCCAAAGTGACAGATCTACTTGCTGGTTCACTCCCCAAATGCCTGCAAAGGCCGGGACTACGCCAGGCCTAAATCAGGAGCTAGGAACTTCATCTAGGGTCTCCCACATTGGTGGCAGGGACTCAAGTGCTTGAGCCATCTGTCACTGCTGTCCCTGGCACATTAGCAGGGAGCTGGAGTAGCCAGGATTTGAACCAATAACTCCAGTATGAGCTAGGGATGGCCCAAGTAGCAGTTTAACCCACAGCACCACATTGTCCTCCCTGAAGCACAGAACTTTGAGACAAGAGTTGCACAAGTCTCATTAGAACTACCCATGTCAATTTAGTCAAAACAATGTTTGAGGGTGGAAATAATTACAGAGGGACTTGTACAGTGTAAAATTATGCAAAGTTTAACTGCCTTGTAAGTCAAACAATTATTGTTTAGGGATAGCTTACAGAGATGTGGTAAAAATGATAAATTAGTGATGGGCCTTTGCCACGCACAGTGATTCAGATGCCACATGGGATATCCATATCCAATGTCAGAGTGCCTGGTTCGAGTCCCAGCTCTGCTGCTGATTCCAGCTTCCGGGTAATGCACACTGAGGGCAGCAGGTGATGGCCCAAGTACTTGGCTTCTTGACATCTACATGGGGTTTCCTGGATGGAGTTCCTGGCCCAGTCCCAGATATTGCAGGCATCTGGGGAGTGAACTGGCAGATGAAGACTTTTTCCCAC